AACACTTAGTAAATACTTGTTGACTGACTAAATCTTTTGATTGTAGTTTTAAGATTCTGTTCTCTTTTAAAAGTGGAGACATTTGCCCTTCTCCAATCTTACCTCTCTGATTTTCCACTATCTTTAAAACATCAGGGATAGTAGCTATTAAGATATGTCTATAAAAATAGCTTAATTTTGAAAAGACAGTTAGCTATATCATGTTTGAAATAATGATACTAAGAACCAAAACAAATGGCAATTTTATGAATAGGATGTCTGTATGGCAGCCATGCTGTCATGTTGAGAAGGGGGATAATAAATAGTGGGTAAAGTGAGCACAGTAGTGAAATCTCTGTAGGCCTTTTACAAAAACTATTTGGCAGCATATTAGCGTAAAAAAAACACAAATGGAAACACACTAAGCTATTCCCTTAGGAAAAAATGTATTTGAATTAAATTTGTTCATTTTTAGTTTGAGATTGCCAGTTTTGATCACCAGTCCCTTTGGATGGTCATATAAAAATAAATGCATCCAGGACAAAATGTTAAATGTAGGATTATTTTAGCACAGAGAATAAGTCAGCAATGCCGAAAGAGATGTAAAAGCAATGGATTATAAACTTAATGAGATAAAGTAATAGGAAAGGGAACTCATAGCAGTGGTGAATTGATCCATACCTTCCTTAATGCTTTATTTTACAAACCTCAGCAGAAAAGTTGACAGCTTTATGTTATTTGAACAAGTAATACATTTTCAGATTAATGCGACTGCATAGCAATGTGTACATTTTAGGTAAACTCCATGAAAATGAAAATTCGCCTTCCTCCTCCTCCTCCTGTGTGTGTGTATATATATGTGTGTGTGTTCTATACAGGTAACACTTTTTGACGGGCATCATCAAGCATAAATAAACTCTTCCCACAAGAATATTTTAAAATAGCTGAAGTTTTCCATTAAGTACAAAAACTTCTTTAAGAATTTTAGCAGTTTTAGAGGAAACCTTAAAGAATAGTAACATTTTCTTGCCTTTAATAGTATTCCAGACAGGATTGGATCTTTTCTTGACTCAGTATAAACATTTTGAACCTCAGTTGTTGTACTCTGTTATACAGTGAAACCCTTAAAGTCTGTTGAAATGTACAGAACAATTTCCCCCTTTATCCAAAGTTTCTGATTTTTTAGATTTTTTGTTATCTTCTTTTCATAGTTTTTCTGTTCCCTCTTTTGCTATTAGTTCTTTATTTAAGTGGCTACTGTGCTAAGTATTGGGGAGTACAAGAACAAAAACTGCTTTCATGGGAGTAGATATCATATTCCCTCTTCTCTTTTCCATCTTCCTCTCCCCTAAAAGGTAATTATAATTTTAAAATTTTTTAAGTAATTTGAAGAAGGAAAGTAATCAGGGAAGATTTTATGAGAAGCTGAGCATCTATGGAACATAAGGATTGTGAGAGATAGAATCAAGGAAGGAGTACATTCTAGGCATTTTGGGAAGTTTTTTTCCCCCATTTTTTTTTTATTTTGGACTCAAACACTAAAACTCAAATACACAGTAGAGAAAAGAAAAAGAAACATATCATAAACTTAAATATTGAAACAAATTCAAAGTAAGAAAAGAAAAAAAAAGCATGTCATGTACACAGCAGATGAGAGAAATCAAAATATTTAGCAATAAATTTCCATATCAAGAAAGCCTGTACTACACATTATGTTGAGAGCTGTCCATCTTTTCTTTGCTTCGTTGTAAGTTTTTCTTGTTCTCTGCTGTGCACTTTTGACTTTTTTCTCCCTTCCTCCTCCCAGGCCCTTAAGGCTACAGTTAAGTGTGGATATATTTCTATATAGATATATACATACTCATATACATATATACACATACATACATACATACACTTTCCCTGACAAATTCTATTCCTGCTCTTTGTTTTTTAAATATAAGGACTTGGTAAACTGTGCTGAATGAACTACCTGCTTTCATGATGAATCACTTATGAAAAGAAAATAAAAACATCAGCTATGTATCTTGTAGTCCTTCAGATTCCATATCTATATAAAAGCAACAAAATTTTAAATCACTGTTAATGAGAGTGAAGAAAAATAAGTAATTGGCATCAATGTAGAAACATTTCATGGACTTGGACGTTCTTGTCTTATGGTATAGTTATAACCTAGGACAGGGGTGGGGAACCTGAGGCCTCAAGGCTACATGTGGCCTTCTAGGTCCTTGGACTGAATCTCTTTGACTGAATCCTAACTTCATAGAACAAATCCCCTTAATAAAAGGATTTGTTTTGTAAAACTTGGACTCAGTCAAAAGGTGGTGCCCAAGGACCTAGAAGGCCATATGTGACCTGAAAGCCTCAAGTTACCCACCCCTGATCTAGGAAAATTTGCTGCAAAATAAAATTTTACTTTAATAAATCTACTTTTCAATGGACTGAGATTAAAAAAAAAATCTCTCTCAGCTATCTTTGGAAAAGGAGAAATAGATGGTTGTCTTTATAATGCCCATTATTGCAGAAATTAAACTCAGGAACAGTGTGTGGGTTTTATTTATTTACACTAGTGCAAGCACTAAAGTTCTGTCCTTGAATTATATTGAACTCATGTTTTAAGTAGTATGTTGAAAATGGCCTTTTATGGGAGGTTTTCTTTTTTAATTCATTGTAAGTAAAAGGTCTTTGCTAAGGTTTTCTAAAGTATCAGGTAGTTCAGTTGATTGAACCTTTTTACTATTTCTTTTTTGAAAAAGCACTTAGCTGATGTACCTCAGTAGTTAGAAAATACAGGGAAACAGTTTGTTCAAATATTCAATATCATTTTGAGATATACTTGAGAGTGCAAAATTTCTTGGAGAATATGCATGATCAGAAGGCATAAAATAACTATTCTAGGTGTGAATCTGTTTATTTCACTTCCAGGGTATATAAACACAAAAATGTCATTCTGGCTCAGAAAACGTAGGTGTAGTATATGGGGCTTTCTGATAGAATAGATAATGATAGGAATAGAGACTGGACCTGTGATTTCACTGATATCAAGAACTCCCAGGTGAGAAAACTCTTTCTGACATTGCTGATTGGTACCTTCTCTTAAATATATAGTCTTAGATCATTTCCTGAAGGGACTTGCTCAAGGGCCCACAGTCAGTGTGTACCAGAAGTCTTCCTGGTTCCAAGGCCAGCTCTCTATCCAGTAAGCCGTGCTGTTGCCTCTTTCTGACGGAAAAGTTAGTCATGGATATAAATGATTTGTTATTTGACATTTAATGATAATGTGAACTTACACTGCTATTATTATTAACTTATATTGCTAAACCTTCAGTTTAAATTTTGACGTATGCACATCTTTTCTAGAATCCAAGTTCCTCATGTCTGAGGTCATACATTTTCCTTATTTTTATATCAGCACTAACATAGTACATGTAGTAGATACTCAGTAGTGGTTGAAATATTTTGATGAACATAGAAATGCATAACATTTTTTAATACATCAGCAATCTTGGTAATGAATACAAGGTAACGAAATGTAAGGGAGATAGGGAAGGCACTAGCAGTTGAGGGTTCAGGAAAGGTATCACATAGATAGTGGTGCTTAAGCTGCATCTTGAAGGAAACTAGGAATTCTGTGAGGCTGAAGTGAGGAGGGAGTGCACTCCAGGCATAGGAGAGAGTCGATTTAATGGCACAGAGCCTGATTATTGTGTGTGAGAAAAAGAGAAAGAATTGTAGAGATAGTAGATTGTAGAGAAAAGTTCTAAAAGACTTGAAAAATAAGTTGGGGCCAAGTTGTGAAGCACTTTGTTGCACAGTGGAGTGACAGAGTCAGAGCTGTAGTTGGGAAAAATCCCTTTGTGGAGAATGGGCTGGAGCGGGAAGAGACTGGAGTCAGGGCCTTGTGGCACTAAGTCCCTGCAGAGTGACAGCTGGAACTGAAAGTAGAGAGCAGGCTTCATTATTTGAGAGATGTTGTAAAGGTAGAAAGGGTAAGATTTGTCTCCTGATTGGGTATGTTGGGTGAGGGAGAAGTTGAGGACAATGCCAAGTGTGCAAATCAGAGAGACTGGATGGAGTTCTCTTGGGAACTTGGGAAGTTCAATTTGGAATTTAGGAGCATGACGTGGGCTAGATATATAGATGTGGGGGCCATCGGCATAGCGATGACAGTTCATTCCTTAGGAGCTGATGAGAGAAAAGGAAGAGGGCCCGGGGAAGAATCTTGGGGTACCTTTCTAATGAAGTTATGTATGAAATGAACGATGACCCAACAGAAGAGATTGAGTAGTGCTTAGAAAGGTAAGAGGACAATCACTAGGGAGCAGTGTCATAAAAATTCTGAGAGCAGAGAATGTGCGGGAGGAAAGGTTTTTCAACACTGCAACATGTATCAAAGAGGTCAAGAAAAATACAAACTTAAGAAATACCATCAGATTTGGCCATTTTGAGATCATTGGTAATTTTGGCAAGAGCAGCATGGTGAAGTGGAAGCCTGATTGCAAAGAGTAGGTGTAAGAACAGTGTTATGGGGATTTATAGTAAAGTGAAGACAAGAAGGTAGAAGGCTTATTTCTACGAGTTTGGCTGAAGAGAGATACAGAATGTTTCCTTTAAGTCAGGAGTTCTTACTCTTTTTGTATTCTATATCTTTTGACAATCTGGTGAAGTCTATGAATTCCTTCTAAGAATGATGTCTTTAAACAATTAAAGGAAATGCTAACTTTCGGTTAGAGATTAGTGAAAATAAAGATTTAAGTTTTTCCTATACAAGTTTACAGACCCCCTGAAATCTGGTTAAGAACACCTGGTTCAAACGGATAGCAGTTTTTCATGAAGGTGGTGGTGGTGGTGTCTTAAGGGATAAGGAATATTTGGGCATGTTTTAAGGCAAGGCAGGCAAGGAAATAGCCAGTAAGATACGAAGAGAATAAAGATAGGAAAAAAAATCTTCTGGTGATTATTTTAATAATTTTGTATTTTAACATAAGCTTGTGTCTTTGAAAACTTTATATTTTTCTCAGGAAAGCAAAGAAACCGACTGGAGCCTATGGACACCATATTTGTTAAGCAAGTTAAAGAAGGAGGACCTGCTTTTGAAGCTGGATTATGCACAGGTACTTCTGTTCTGTTTTACATTACACTACCTGAGCTTTTTCTACTTGTTTCTCCAAGTTTCCCATTTCACTCTCCACATAGTTCCCCTTTCTCTGGTTTTTCTCTCTTTCTTCTTTATCTGTTCTCAGACTGAGGAACCTCAGAGAACCATCTATCTATTTCACCTAATACTAGAGCAAGAATCCTTTTTACAATGTACCTAACAATCTAGCATGTGCTTAGAATGCCCTCATGAGGAGTACTTTACTTTGTGGGGCAAGCCATCTGACCTTTGGCATTATTCTAATAAACAGGGTGTCCCGAAGTTTTAGTGAAATTTTAAGCTATAAAGCTTGGCACCAAGATTTTTGAGACACGCATGTGTGTGTGTGTGTGTGTGTGTGTGTGTGTCTGTGCGTATCTGTGTCTGTGTGTGTGTGTGTGCAGTAAAAAGATTTCTTGAACTTGGAGTCAAGACCTCAGTTTGAATCCTGTGTTTGACACTAGACATTGAACTTTCAAAGGTGCACAAATCACTTAAAGTTTCTGAGCCTCAGTTTCTTCATCTGTAAAATGGGGATAGTAATAGCATTTGTCTTATAGAGTCGTTCTAAAGATTAAAATTAAATGATGTACATAAAGCACTTTGTTAATCCCTGAAGTATTATAAATATCTGTTATTATTTTGATTTTAATTCATCTACTTGGGATATACTATCAAAAATTAAATAGGTTTGATTGATAAATATCTGTGGTTGCTATTTTGTAGAGAAAATATGCTCAGTGTTTAAAATAGTGACATTCTGTCATCAAGAAATGCTTTATAACAGGAATTACCTAGAAACTTCCTACATACAGTCTTTCATTGCCTTTTGAATAAAGAGTTGTAGCATTTTAAACTCCTTTGTATTCAAATAATAGCTATATGGAATAATATTTAAGAAGATCATCTGGTTGAAACTTATAAAATGAAGTCTTTTTTCCTAGAAAAGTTCATGGACCCTCTAAAATCTTTCCACAGACTCGGCGGGGGTGGGGTGTGAAGGGGGGATGTCTATGGACCTGAGGTTAAGAACACAAAAGCAGATATCCAATGGCTGTTCATATGTAACACACATAATTTTTCAGAGCACTGCAGGTTAAGAAGATGAAACAGGGGACATTGAATAGAACACATTTAGGAAACACAACTCTTTTTCTTCTTTCCTTTGATTTTTCCAATAATCTAGATATGCTGTTTCCAATCAGGTCATCTCTACCCTCCTAACACTTGACCCAACCAAGTGCCATCTGAGTCTTTTGTTTCTTGGCAAACAATTTAATACATGTAAATTTGTCATCTTAAAGACAAGCGCACTTGTTTTTAAACACCCATACCTAGGCTGTGCAGCCAGCTCTAGGTATTCACCATGTAGGGACATTAGGAGAGGTAGCATGGCACAGGACTAGTGTGCTGAACTTGTAAACTGGAGTTCAGATTCCATTACCAGCACTTGTCAGCATTGTGTTCTTGGGCAAATCACTGAACTTCTTTGGCCTTCAGTTTTCCTTATCTGTAAAACAAATTAGGGAATGAAGATAATATCTACTTCATCGGGTTGTTGTCAGGCTCAAGTTAAATAATGTAGATACAAACCATAAATTATATATGAATGTGAGTTATTACTGTGGGGAAAGCCAGGTTAAAAAAAAGGATAATTAAAGTAAACAAAAAAAAAAAGTAAACCCAGCTGGACCATTAAAAGAGAGGGGGGAAATTGACAGTTAGTTTATACTTCCTGTATGGTTGTGTGTTTTACAACAGTAGTTGTAAAAAAGTAAAAAAGTAAAAAAGTTGTAAAAAAGTAAAAAACAGTAGTAAAAGTGTAAATTGAAGGAAATTGAGTGGTTCTGTCATTTGCTGCTTCTTTTCCCCCTCTCCTGGTCAGTGCTAGAATCTTAGGTAGTAGACCAGTGGCCACTAGACTTTGGTGAGAGATGACTTTGATGTCTGTAAAGCCAACAAGAATCCCTCTGTGATCTTGTTTGAAAACATGGCTGTATTTCTTATGTAGACAAATGTGCTTTCAGTGGAAGATAATGACTTTTTTTTTCTTAAGCAAGATATTTAAAACTGATTTTAAAAAAACTTTATCTCTCTGCTTCATCATTGCCCTCCTCAGTTTTTTATTTCTTCTTTCCTTATGTTGGTATAAATGACTTCATATAATAAAGACACTACCATATAGACTAATGAAGAAATACTTTTTAGCACCTACCTCATAAGGTATGCCAACACACATTTTCCCTTAGAAATTTCTCATGCTGTTTCTTCACCTCTCCTTGCAGGTGATCGTATTATAAAAGTCAATGGAGAAAGTGTTATTGGAAAGACCTATTCCCAAGTAATTGCTTTAATTCAGAACAGGTAAGATATTTGAATAATGTTGATTTGTGCCACAAGTGGGTTTCTGTTTCACAACTCAGTTCAGCAGAGTGATCTTTATGAAGTGTTGTATTACTCTTGAAAAGTGATGTGATTGAGCTTTTATGGGGTTAAAACATTTGGGAGTTGCTAGAAGCCAAGTTTGCTTGGGCATGACTTAGACTGCTTCTATTTGGCAGCTTCACTGACTTCATCATTAAAGCCACTTATCTGAGCTTTGGATCACTAAGTTTCATGTTTTTTTAATGTTTTCTCCTTTGTAATGGAAATAGTGTTTTAACTTTTGATTTAATGAACCTGTACTGAAAATTCTTATTAATTTGAGTTTAGTTATCTCACCTGAGATAAATTTGCTGCCATTGAGATAGCTTTGAGCATTTTCTGGACTACATGCCTACTACTCTTCCATAGTCCATTACTTTTCAACTTTTCTTTCCCTCTTTTTGTTATAAATAACGAGCCATTGGATGAGTAAGTTCACTAAGTTGGTTATAAATGAAGATGTTCACTAAAGCATAAATCTAAACCAGGCCTGCACAACATACGGCCTGCCAAAGTAGCCTGTGGGCCGGATGTTGTGCAGGCCTGGTTTACATTCTTTACATTTTTCATGGGCCCCCCAAAATCCTTTGGCGGGCCACGAGCAGCAGGCCATCAGCAGCTCATGATATTGTACAGGCCTGATCTAAATAGATCTAATGCAGTTAACTCTGGATTCTATACCAGTGAGTTGGTTATACACTTGGCATATTACCCATGATGACCTAGGGTTGTCCTTCTTCCTACCTTCTTCCCCCACCACTGTCCCCAGGCATATAGTAAAGGCCCATTGACTAGAGGTTGATGTGATAGGTAGAGGTGATTAGACAAAGGCACAATTCAGTTAAGTGTGAGTATGTCTGTGAAGGGGTTTTTACCTGTCTGTATATGTTAGCCTAGTCCAAAGTATTATGTGAGAAGGGAACACTCTTCCCCCTCTTTCCCCTAGTTTTACAGATGAAGCTCAGAAAAGCCATTAATTGCCTTAAGGTCACATAGCTAATTACTAGTAGAGTCAGATCTAGAGCCCAAGTTTCCTGGATTTTTTAGTCCATTGTTCTTTCCATTATACTGCCTCTCAGAAACTAAGTAATTTTTGGATTATATTATCTTAGCCACAACTTTGTTCCTCTTTATTAGTGGATAGTAGATAGTGATATTGAGTATAGTAAAATTAAGTAACTTATTATTTAATTGCTCAAATTATTTCTATTAAAAACTATCTTTTTGATAATCAAGTCCAAATAAAGTTAAGAAAAATTCAGTATTTGTGTGTGCATTACACACACACACACACACACACACACACACACTCTACTGTGGGATAGGCATTTAATTTTCAGGGAAATTGAGCACAGAGCACACACAGCATAGTATATAACTGTAAACAGTATAGTTAATATCCAAGTCTATTTATAACAGTATAATTAATATCCTAGCAAATTTTAAAAAAATTTCAAGTGGTATGATGAGGACAGATTGCTATTCAAGAATATAAATGTCCTTAGTTAAGTTAGTGAGATTCTGAGATAATACATAGCCTATATCTTAGTTCTACCTGGTAGTGGTACCAATTTGAACATAATGCCTCAGAAGGTTGAGACAGGGAGAAGCTTCCAAGCTCTTTTCTCTGAGATAATTGGGACGTTGCTAATATGTTTTTTGTTTGCTGATATTTTTATGCCTATAAATGTAAATGAACTGCTAAAATACCTTTAAAAATTCACTTCTTAATATCTGTCATTCTCTTATGTTTTGTTTTCCTTGAAATACACATAAATTTGTTCACACGTTGATATGTTTAATCTTTGGGAGTACTTTAATTGTTAAGAATGACAATATTCATTTTTAAACAAAATTTGGAAAAATAGAGAAATATTATAAGTTTTCTCATCCTATCTTTTTTTTTTTTTAAAAATTGTGTTCCTTTTGTCTGCAGTTGGTAGCAAATGGATAATGGAGCATAATGCCATTGAGATTCTGCAGTCTATTAATGTAAAAATGTATCCTTGCAGAAGAATTTATCTCATCAGTATGTATTATCTACTGACACTAAGCTACTAAAATAAAACCCCCTGCCTAGTTTTATTCTTGTTTAAACCAGTGGCTCTACTTAGCTTGCCATTCTTTTTGCATTTATAACTTGGACAAAAAGCAATACTGATAAACTTAAGGGATTTTAAGTGTTAAATATCTTGATTGAATTACAGAAATTGTACTTGATGCCTCTAGATTAGGTTTAGAAACACTGGCTGTGCTCTGTCCACATGTTGTCTCAGATACCAGGTTTCACTCTCATTTACCCCTCCTGATATGTTTTTTAAGACAGGGAAAATGTTCACTTGTAATAGCTTTATGGCATGAAAATGAAGGTCTTATTAAGCTCTAAAACATGAACAGGTTTTTTGCCAATTAGTAATTATTACAGAGTAAAGAAAAACAGTCATGACAGCAGATAAGGTTTCTTTTTTTCTTGAATGAAATTTTCAGTTAATATGATAAATGATCTTTGAAACATTGAATTTTAATACAGACAGGAACATTTCTTAATATGATGATTTAAAGACTACCCTGATTCTCTGATATTCAGCTTTTTAAAAAGTCCTGTAATATAGTCTGTGGATTGAAATGAAAGAAGAAACCATCCTGTTTGCTGTGAATTCTGGTTTCATTTTTTTAGTTTAATTAACATTTCTGATGCCTCATTAAGAAACTTTTTAAGTAGACTTGGGATATGCACATTTTAAAAAGAATTAGTTGTTTGAGATAATAGGATAAAAACATAGGCAGCTAGTCCTATTTAAAAGCTAAGCATTATTTTTCATATTCTAAATAATTTGGATTTAGAAAGTAACAATTTAAGAAAACAAACAGTCTAGGCCTTAAGTAATTTTATGCACATTTCTGAATTTACTGACCTCTGGCCTCCCCGATATACTTGCATCACTCCTAAAAATAACAAAAAAAAATGTGTATTTCTGTTTTATTTCAGTGATACCACATTGGAACTTAGTGTTATGCCAAAAGATGAAGATATCCTTCAAGTGGTAAGTTTTTTTTACTGAACTAGCAATACAGTCATCTCAACTAAGTCTCTTTGTGATAGAGACCAACTCTTCCCGACCAAAGTGGATTAAGTCTGGGTAGGAAGTTTTGGCCAAATGTTGTCTCTGGGCATCTGACAGGCTTGGTTGGTTGAAGGAAAGGAGAGTCCTCAAGTGCAGGTGAAAGAAAGCAGCATTCATCATGGTTCTGCCTGCCCTTTGTTCTCCATAATTCAGTTCAGTATCATTGATTAAATGCCTGCTGCATGTCAGGCAATGAGCTAGGAACTGGAGGCACAAAAAACAAAATGGCAAAGTCCTTGACCCCTCACCATAGGTTAAGAAAGATAGATCAGGGTGGAGGAGGCCCATCGTGGAGCCCTGCTCACCATCTGAAGTCTTAAGAGAGTGAAGGGATTTCACAGACTGAAATCTCTTCTCATTTTTAGAGGCCATCATGTCTATGTCAGGACTAAGACTGGTAAAAACCTATAAGAATAACAGTCAGACCACAGAGTATGTTGAGTTGGACTTGATTAAGAAAACAGGTAAAAAATTGCTAATATATCATTCTAGTTGACAAAGAGGAGAAAGCATTTTAGTGTATGTAACATATGGAATAATTGGGGCGGGAACTGGTCAGTCTGTCTCATTCAGTTTTATTCAAAATGAATACTGGGAAAAAAACATTGAAAAAGAGAAAAAAATTAATCAGAGTTTGAACCTAAAGGTATCATAGATACTCATATATATATGTATATTAATACTATTTCTTACTCCCAGATAATATGGTTTAGGTGTAGTTTCACATGTAGTTTTAGAGTATCAAAATTCCAAACTGTGAAGACAAAATAATCACTGTTTTGAATATAATCTGTGGTAATGTCAAATAAAAATAATTTGTGTCTTATAGCAGTTTTCAGTTTTGCAAAAATGGTGTTGAGTTATTTCTAGCGAATTCCAGAATATTATCTAAGACATCTGTATAAAAAAATGCTAAAAGAAAACTTCATCTTTAAAGTTAGCCCTCATTCATAGTTGAATCCATTCTAATTTAATGAAGAGATCTGAGTAGTGTAAGAAAAACATGTGCAGTTCATATTTTGTATTAACTGTTCAGAACTGGACATGTATAAAGATGAGACATTTTTCAAACATTGAATGGGATTTCTGATATTCTTTAATAATTATATATATTAGAAATATTTTGCTTTCATAGAGATATGTCGGTATAATGAAAAGCTTGCCTCAGAGTCAGGAAGCCACATAGACCCTGGGGACTGACACAATTTACTTCTCACTTCCCTCAGTTCTTTCCCTAATATTAGCATTATAATGTTGGTCTAACTGCTCTGGCAAAAAGGTTGTCTTTAACTTGAGTCCCTTATGCTAATGAAATCAGAGTATTGAACTGTTCATATCCCTAACCCTCCCTTCTCTCAAATCGCTTTTGAGCTCCAGTTTTTCTGAGTTTGAACCATTAATCTGGTAGTCTGTTAAGATCTTCCAGATGATCCTCAAACTGCTCTAAAGTGTCTTATGCAAAAATGATTTTAGTTTTGGTTTAGCTTTGTTTTTTAACTAGGGATTTGAGTCTTTATTTAAAAACATTAACAGTTTAATAGCCCTAATGAAGGTTGTTGATGGGGTAGGATGGGTGTAAGGAGTGGGTTATGTACCTGGGCTCCATGACCTGAAAACTTTAGAAGGCATATGTAGAGGGGCCAATCTATAAGGGACAGAATACAGAATTTAATTATGTTAAAATATAATTATCAGTAAAAACACATTTAATAAGTGTCTACTATGTGCCGGGCATTATGCAAGATACCAGAGATAGAAATAAAAATGGAAAAGAGAAAAAAAGAGGAAACAATCCTACTCTCAAAGAATTATACCCTCCAACTCCCACCCCAGTGAAACAACATGTATATAAGTAATGTACAGAATAAATACAAATTATATTTAAAATGATTGGGGAGAGATGGCATTAACAGATGGGAAATCAGGAGGGGCAGGAGAAGGGAGGGAGCACATTCCTGGCACAGGAGACAGCTGATGCAAAGGCACAGAAAAGTACATGGCAGGGAATGTCACTGTAATGGAGGGCAGTAGCAGAAAACAAAATTTGAATGAAACAAGATAAAGAATGAATTCTTCAAAATGAAAAAGATGTGACTAATAATTTTTGTGCTTGACAGCCTTAAAAGTATGCTAATTAGATGACTTAAAAATTATCAATACAAAAATTTAATTGTTTAGCTTTGTTCTTTTCCTGTTTTATGCATTTTTACTTTTAAAAAGTATAAATATTGTTATAAATAATTTTCATCATTCCTTTTTTAAGAATAGAGTTTAAGGGGCAAATTCCCTTTGCCAATTTGAATAATATTCTATGGGGGTCATATTTATTGTTATTTTGATTATTTGATACCTCTGTGTATGGCTCAAATGACCATTAAGCCAAATAATGAACAATGACTCTGTGAACTGTTACACTTCTACTCAGACTGGAATTATGAGAACAGGGAGTGGAAGATAGAATCTTCTGACTCTGAAGGGATTGCCCCAGCAATTACTTTTTAAAATGCAGACTAGTGAACTGGAGCTGCAAATCTTGACTTAATTAACAGTAGGCTGCAGGGACTAAAACTTAAATTTTCAGTTGAGTTTATTGGTTGTGTTTAGAGAAGGGAGCTCGGGCAAATTATTGGGAGAGTGTTTAAGCTCAGGTATACGAAATATGGTTTCTGTAGAGGATACCTACTTTTTTTGAAAATCCCTTTTATTTGAACTAAAGGACAGTTAAGTATTAATTTTATTGAGCTATGTTTGAATTTATTAGTTTTAAGCTTTATGATAAAATATAAATATATTTTACTATTTAAGTTCATTATTCATTTATGTCACTTTTTAATTGATTAGGAAAATGTGTAAAACCTGCGAATACTCTTTTTACTTCTATATATCTTAACAATTGTGAATTAAATTCCATTATATGTTTGAAATACCTTTCTATGTCCTTTATACTAAATTAGATCTCAGTTGCCTCAGACAATTTTTTTATGTTAAATGTTTAGTGGCTTTAATAGTTTTTGAAATCATTATCATCATTGTGAACTCTTTTGTGCTAATATTATATAGAACACTTATAAAATTATATCAGTGTGTGTGAGCTTACTGTTTTGATGAGCACATTGATTAACAAAGTTGAAGCCTCGTTTGCCATTAAATATTTTAATATACATTAGATTTACTTTCAAAGCAATGATGTGTACATTGTTTAAATTGAGAAATGCAATTTGAACTTAAGTTTTCATTTGTTTGTAAGCCATATTTTCTTGCAGTTTTTCGCTAGTCATTTGAAATGTAGCAGAATTACTTAAGAAGGCTATGGAAATTAAATGTGGGCTTATTCATTTTGTCAATACTTGTGAAGGACCTACTAGTTTCATGTTACCTAGTTCAGTGCTTGAGGAATTAAAAGAATAAAATAAGTTCCTGGCCTAGCAAGGGATTTGAGACATGTAGCATATAAAATGGAACATGGATAAATGACTAAGATAAGTATAAGGTTCTATGAGAAATCCGATTAGTCAGAAATTGGTTTAGAAAGTTTTGTGAACAGTCTTTTCTAGAGAAGGAGAGACTAGATCTAAGAATCATGAAAGTTTCTTTCTTGTCTTGTAAATCGATATCAGTTGCTTGATGTTGCTTGAGAGTTTTAAGTAAGATGCTTGAAGTGTAAGAACTGTGATCAGTACAATGACTATTCATTCCAGAAGACCATAACAGAGAGATGATGGGTGTAAGGTGTGGAATGTGACGTACGTGTGTGTGTGTGTGTGTTTGCATACCACCACTGGGAGAATTTGTTTTGCTTGACTAGGCATATTTATTAAAAGAAATTTGTTCGCCACCCCACTCTCACCTTTGGGGTAGGAGAAAGAGAAAATATATTTTTCTTAATTAAAACACAGAGGTGGCAGGGAATGGTACAAATGTGAAATGTTATATGAACATTCAGATGAGGTCACTGTATTAGTTTTATTTAACTGTTTTACTTTGTTATAAGAGATGGGGAGACCTTTTTAAAGTAGAAGGATAACTAGGATTTTTTGCTTATTTTTCCCACCAACTTTTCGTATAATAGTCAAGGCTGATTATTTTGTTTTAAACAGTTGTTTACGAGGAAGTAAGGCTATTTTATTTGATGTGCAATTTTAGTCAGTTACTATTAATCATTGCCCATATTTAATACTATATTAAATTAGCCAGTCCTTCTGGCTGTCTATTTCCTGATAAAGATTTCAGTTGACAACCTTTTACTCCTCATTATAGTGTTGTTTTTTCCCCAGTTTAAATGCTTACAAAAGTGATTTAAGTAAGGGGTTGTTATTATATTTTCATTAGTTAAGGCTTTAGTTTTTAAAGCATAGGCCTTTAACACTTACTGAATTTAAATGTGACAATGAAGGAAATTTCAGGGAAAGGAAGTAGAACTAGGGTAAAAATGCTAAATTGAAAAAGTGTTTTTTTTTTTTAAACTACCTTACCATTCGTTGAATATTTTAAGAGCTACTTATTTTGTTCTATTAAATGTTATAAACATCACTTTTGTGACTGTAGATAAACAGTTCATCCAAAACAATTTCAGACAAAACCAAGATAATTTAAGAATGTTATGTTACCCCAATTCAGTTATCGTTTGGTACTATTCACTTAGTATCCAAATAGTAATTCAGTTACTTCTGGTAGGATTTTAAATATTCTGTTTTGTGGCCTTAGCTGCAGATATGGGGCAGTTAGAGTGGTCCTGCTGCTATATGCCCAGGTAATGGGTTGAGGGCTGCCTCAAGGAGTGACACATAATGGCTTGTCCAGATGTTTTTCTCCAGTATGTTGATCTTGGGCCCTGACTAACCCCTTTAATATTTGGTAAATATTTGGCACATAAATATTGAGTTTTAAGTGATTTTAATGAGTATCTCTGCCCTGAATACATCAGTCTTAATATTTTCTCCAGCTTGAAAAAAATGTGATTAAATAGTATGTAAATTTTCAAATATATCATATGAATTAATTTTAAAGAACTTTAATGCGGGCCTAGACTTGTAAGGCAAGATTACTTGTTTTTTTAAACCATAAAATCTCAAATAATTCAATTTTTGTTGCATGGCCAGTGTTTGTTTTTAAACACTTGCCATTTGGCTTTCTCACTGCTTCTTGAATGAACTTTTTTTTAGAATTTTCACCTCATCAGGTTTGATTTGGAAATAACCTTTTGAATATCTATTTTAGCCTGTCATAGAAGGAGGGCCATTCTATTGAAATACACTGCAGTGATAGCCTACACTTCTATTTCCTGAATGAAATATATCTAATGAAATTAATCACAAAGAGAGGTTATTTCTTCAGAATTATCGTCTCCCCCTGTTTTAGAGATATAGTACGAGAGCGCAGCCATGGTCAGCTGACAGCTACTGCTTATGTTCAGATTTATTGGGAGGAGGGTTGCACTGTTTTAAATGCATAATAGAGCATTCGTTTCGTCATTTAGAAGCAGAGCTCAGTAGAAGCTCCAGGGAGATGAGAGACAGCAATGTTGCCCTAGTGGAAGGGAAGCATTGTAGCACATCACCAGAGTACTGTGCCTGCGGAGGAAAAATGTGTACCAGGGAGTCATGGCAGAGATGTGCTTTGCGTCCACAATGGTAGAGAAATCAAGCAAGAAGCCGATAGAAGCCTGAGACATGTGTGCTTACAGGAGCACTGAAGGGTTTTATGCTTTACTGCCCCTTTGCCTCAATTGGAACCTTCCAGAGAAATCAGTCTACATGTATTTTTAGCTTGCTGTTTCTAGCACCAATATAACAACATAATTCTGTCTTTGTATCAGTAAGCAGCTTTTACTATGTTTTCCTATTTTCTGCCAGCTACAGTTTACAAAGGATGTCACAGCACTGGTAAGAAATGCACAGTAGCCATTTCCTTTATTTATAAGGCATGTTTTTTATAGATTTGTCATAATACAGTCTATTAAACCTGCAAGTTACTGAACTAGATGTTTGTTCACAGAAATCCCTTGTTATGGTTAACCTTGCTAATGTGCAATATGTGCTTGTGATGTTTATGGGGAGGGGAGGATTGTTTTCTTTCATATCCTAAATTTTAACTAGTGTTCAATGTAGAATTTATTGCATTTGGTTTTTGGGTGCCTCGCCCCCCTTCCCACCTCCCCCATACTGGGCTCTTAGGTTGATGACTGCATTTCTGCTTTACAGCATGCCTGAGTGTAAAGCCAAGACTCATTTGGTTATGAATTAAGACTTTTATGATTAGAATAGGAAATATTACATCTATTTGTATCAAATCCTGAATAAATGCTGAACTTAGGCTTTTATTGCATTGGCCATCTCTGTGTTGTGGGGTCTCTATTTCCATTTTAATTATCATAAAGTTTTTTAAGTACCTTTATAAACAATGTCATAAATTATTGAAAAAATAATTTAGAATGCATAACTGTAGTAAGTAGGTACACCTTTGTAAGAGAGGGAGATAAATGAAATTTACAAAATGTAATAGAACCAGTTTTCTTAAGCATTATTAGCTCAACATAAGGTAAGATGGGAAATAATTTACTAACTTGAATTATTTTGAGCTTAGAGAGTGTATATGTTTTCACTATATGTACTTAATACTAAAAATGGTCATTTTTCCTTTTGTTAATGTAAAATTATTAGCATGTTGGTTAAATTTTTATATAATAGCATCATTTTGAGAAATTAAGTAACAACTAAGACTGGATATTACCTCAAAAAAGTTTATTCACTGAAAATGTATTTATATAACTAGAATTTTTAATGTTTTCATTTTATTTGGCAGGGGTAAAAGAATCCTCTGACTTATGGGATTTATTATGAAGCCATTTAACTTGCCAAATCCCAACAACACTAAGGAGATTAAATGGGGGAATTTTAGAAGCACTTTGTAGCAAATAAGGGAAAAGATTTTGATGATTCACCAAAATGTTGAAAAGGGAATCATTAGTATCTGTTTATATTATTTGCAAATTTTACAGTTCACTTGGTTTCTGAACTGACTTTTCCTCTAAATTTATGATACTTAGTACTGTGGTCTTATGTCTGTGTTGAAGTAAACATCAAAAGTAGAAATTATTGCTGTTTTTAAGAATTTTAGATAACACTCTATTTTCATTTGTTCACAGGCATATTCTCAAGATGCCTACTTGAAAGGCAATGAAGCTTACAGCGGCAATGCCCACAATATTCCCGAGCCCCCGCCCATTTGCTATCCCTGGCTATCACCCTCCACTTCAGGAAAGGCACAGCCCGTGGAAGTAGCTCCTCCTGACTCTTCGCTGAGCAAACAGCCAGTCAGTACTCCAGGACCGACCCAAACTAGCAGGGCCTACAGAATGGAAGTACAAGTGCCTCCCTCACCACCAGATGTTGCAAAGTCCAATACGGCAGTGTGTGTTTGCAATGAAACAGTAAGGACTGTCATCGTGCCTTCTGAGAAGGCTGTCGACTTGTCCTCTGGTAGAAATCACCTCACAGGTCCGTCGCATAGAACTGAAGAGGTCAGGTATGGCATCAATGAACAGGCCTCTTTAAAAACAGTGTCAAGGACTCTATCACCGTCATCTTCAGTTCCCACCTCCCATTTAATTCATCAGACTTCAGTGGCCAGATCAGTAGAACCTTCTGGAGTTTCTGCTAAGTCTCTTAACTATGGTGGACATCCGGAAGGAATCTCAGGCAGTAGGCCTCAAGCAATGGATACTCCCTCTGTTTCTACTAATCATTATTCTCCAAATTCTCATCAACATATAGACTGGAAAAACTATAAAACCTACAAAGAGTATATAGATAACAGACGATTACACATGGGGTGTAGGACAATTCAAGAAAGATTAGATAGTTTAAGAGCAGCTTCTCAGAGTGCAACAGATTATAGCCAGGTGGTATCAAATCGCACTACCTGCCAGGCACGCCGAAGGAGCACTTCTCATGACAGAGTGCCTCAGCCAGTTCAGATCCGGCAGCGTAGCGTATCCCAGGAAAGACTAGAGGACCCTGTGCTGATGAAGTATTGGCCAAGAAGTGCATCTCAAGGGGCACTCACTTCACCATCTGTTAGTTTTAGGAGCCATAGAACGCGTTCCTGGGATTATCTTGGTGGGCAAGGTGACACATCAGAAAAGGTGAATTCAGAGAACCTTGTATCTGATTTGAATGGAGATAGAAAACAGACTTATAAATGGACTGGATTTACAGAGCAGGACGATCGACGAGGTATCTACGAAAGATCTAGGCAACAAGACTTTCATAAATCTTTTCGAAATTCAAGTTTTACTGTGGCTCCTAGCATTTTAAATTCAGATAGTAGACGAGTGAGTGGTAGAGGAGTGGGATCTGGGTCTCAGTTTCAGAAAGTTTCACCAGATTTAAAAACATTGCAGTCAAATAGGAATTTTCAAAACACTTATGGAACATCGTTGCCTCGAGGCATTTCTCAAGACAGGTCACCTCTGGTAAAAGTCAGAAGTAACTCTTTGAAATCTCCTTCTACGTATGTGGCAAAACCTTCATTTAACCAGAACTCATTCGTTGCTGCCAAAGACCAAAGACCAATAAATCACTTACATTCAAGCAATCTACTAAATCAGCAATCAAGATTACGAGCAGAAAGTGCACCAGACCACATAGTCGATACTGGGAAGTCCCCCGCTTCATCTGTAGCTTCTGCCAAGCTTGGACTTCAGATGAGTGAAAGCTGTCTTCCCTCAGATGATTTAGAACCATCTATCAAACAAAATTCACAAGAAGCTGAAATTCAATTATTAGGCTCTGTAGATAACAAAGAAACAGTGGTTCTGAGGGAAAAACCTCCATCTGGGCGCCAAACACCACAGCCTTTGAGGCACCAGTCATACATCTTGGCAGTAAATGACCAAGAGACTGCATCAGACACTACCTGTTGGTTGCCAAATGATGCACGCCGAGAGGTCCACATAAAGAGAATTGAGGAAAGAAAAGCATCGAGTTCCAGTCCACCTAGTGATTCCCTGGCATCCATTCCATTTATAGGTGAGCTCCTTGGTTTAAATACACTTCATCAAAATTAATGGGTCTCATAGTGTCTTCTGGCTGATATCCCCAAATATTTTGGTATTCTAAAAAGACATTTTCAAGGTAAGACGTGGGATTATGTAGATATCTTTGTAATTCTGCCAACAGATAGTGAAAACATATAATTCATTACCTCTGATCCTCTGACTGTAGAACTTTCTATTTCCATTGTATATAGTCTCAAAATTTCCCGATGTTTCTTCCAACTCTAAAAACTCTTGTGCATCATACTTTTATCCTCTAAAATTATATTAGCATCAGTTTCCTTTTTCACATGAGCTTAAGAATGCAGAGTTTTACATTGTGAAATAAACTTCTTTATCCTATGCTAATGAAGGAAGGAAGGAATAAGCATTTATTAAGTGCTTACTGTGTGCAAAGAGCTCTGTGCTAAAGGCTGGGGATACAAATAGAATGGCAAGGTAGTCCTTACTCTCAAGGAGCTCACATTCTAAGAGATTTCAGCTGTGAGTCAAGTGGAAAGGTACCATGTTCTCTAGGGTGCAGTGGCAAAACACATGGTAATAATGCATCTTCTTTAATGTGTTTCTACTGATAAAAATCCCTTTTAGCTCTGATGTCAAATTTTGACAGTGTCAAGGACTTTGCTGGAAAGAACTTTGCTTTCTGAGCTTCAGTAGTTGTGGCTATAATGTATATAAAGTTGATACAAGTGACACTACAAACTGAATTCTTCTCAAATGTTGACCCAATCCTATATTTTCATGGCGATACCTTAAATTCCTTTTCAAAGTTCTTTCATATTTATTATATTCATATTCATTATTTTGCTGTCGCTTTTAAATATATTAATTATTTGCTACAGACAGAACACAGTGTTAGGCATTGGCAAAGACATAAAAATAAATAAGACATGATCTGTGCCCTCATGGAGCTCCTTATCCTTGAGGAGTGATGCTTCCTAAAAGACTGCACTAGGTATCCCATGAAAATGCTAGCCACATTCCATAAAATGTTCTTCTGTACATGTGACAAATCTTAGAATAAATTTGAGAAATTTACTTGAGGAATAGGAAGTATATTAAAGTCAGTCAACATACTTATTGAGCATCCATTGTGTAAGGTGCTCTGGTAGGCCATGTGAGGGATACAAAGCAGATATAATTCCTACACTCAGGGAACTTAGAGTTGAATTGGGAAAACACAATTTAACTTAAAAAAGTTAAATGACAAACATAAGATAAATAATAATACAAAATAATATAAAAAGTTATGATCATGTATTCTGTGTTGATGAATTTACAGAGGAATCAATCAGCAAGCATTTATGAAGTACCTACTGTGTGCCAGGAAATGTGCTAGGTATTGGGGATAAAAGTACAGAAATGAGACAGCTGCCCACAGGGAACTTATTTTATAGGGGGAGTAAAGGATAGACAACTTATTCACACAAAATATCAGAAAGGTATCAAAGGTGATTTTCAGGGAGAGCTGAATACTAGCAACTGGGGGAATTGGGAAAGGCATTTTGAAGGTGGCAATTGAGTACAGCTCTGGGTTCCATATTGCTATTGGGACAGCTAGGTGGCATAGTGGATGGAGTGCTGGGCCGGGAGTCAGGAAGACTCATCTTCTTGAGTTCAAATCTGGCCTCAGACACTTACCAGCTGTGTAATCCTGGGCAAGTTACTTTACCCTGTTTGCCTCAGTTTCTTCATCTGTAAAATTAGCTAGAGAAAGATCTGGCAAAGATAATGGAAGAAAAGGAGGGGAACATTCTAGACATGGGGGAGGATCTGTGCAAAGGTAGCAAAGTGGGAGATGGGATGTTGGGTACAGCAGCATAGAGTACTAAGAAAGAGTAGTGGAAAACTAGGCTGGAACTAGATGGTGAAGGACATGAGATGTCAGTGGGGTTTGCATTTCATTCTAAAGGCTCCACTCTGTGTGCCACCAAAGTTTCTTGGTTGGGAAAGTGGTGTGGTCACACCTGTGTTGTAGGCATATCGTGCCTCTAGCTTTGTGGAAGATGGAGGAGAGAGACTGTGAGTGCAAAGAGATATTTGGCCATGGAACCATTTTAGGCCTTGAAAAGTGTTAATGGATATATACTTTTGGAAAACAGGTAAGATTGGAAAAAATTTGGACCCCCAATTAGAGAAATTAAGTCTTCTGTTCATATGGAAAAATAACATTTGATAAACTTATATATGTAATTTAACATGTTAATAATTTAAAGGAGACATAATTCTAGAATTGATTTTTTTTTCTCATGGAACTCATTCATATATGCAATATACAAAGACTTTGGTAAACACGGTTTGGGAAGTACTCACGTAGTTCAATTTTCTTGTTTTTAATAGATGAAGTCATTTATTTTACTATTTTAAAACTATATCTATAACCTCAGTTTTGTCCTTTTGGAGGTCAATGAGAGCTCATTAAAATATATCAAGAATGGCTTAGTAGTAGTTCAGTCATAAAAAAAAGAACAGTCATGCCTTGAGTTTTCTTTCCCAAATACCAAGAACTGCCAGAAGGTGTCAAAGAACCATTTTATTTAGGAGAGAAGAAGAAGGCTCTTAGAAATGCTATAAAATCAAGGGTGTTGAGACTTCAAAGGATTCTGCGTTACTTATATAAGTTGGCATCGTTATATTCTACTGCTTTTGAATATGCCATCTTGTACTCTACCACTGTACATGATTATGGTGACATTAGTCATCTATACCCTGTTCTAGAATGAACTGCACTTAGCTACTCTGCACAACTATGGTATCAAAGAAATGGAAAGTGAGATAGAATTCATACTTAATATTGATCATATAAATAATTAAATACTCATTTTTTAAAATGCACTTTGACAAAAGTAAAAATAAGTGTAGTTTAATTTTGCATGTTTCTTGAGTGGTTTTTAGATTACACTGAAGAGAGTTAATGAATTTTAAGCATTCTGAAGCCTTTTGCTTAAAAGGTCCTAACTCCTTTCTTTGTATCCCCAGTACTTAGCACAGTGCTTAGCACATAGAAGACATTTTACAAATATTTATTGACTGACTGATTAAGACAGACTCTGCTAGACCATTTATTCATTTGAAGTTGGTATACTTATTATAGCTTAATAGATAAAAACCTGAATTTTTTTTAGTTTTTATTGCACACATCAGTAGTGTACTTTTTTAATTTGAATTCATATCCTCATCATGTGAAATGCATCCTAATCTTTTCTTCATTTAAAAAAAAATTCTTGGTTTAAATAATTGCAAAGTTTGAAAATAAGTATGGACTTTTAGGAGAATAAATCTAATGTAGCATTATCAAATTAATATGTTCATGATTCACAAAAATGCTTCAGTTTTTCACATATTCATGTGATAGTGTGAGCTCTGAGTTCTTTTTTAATTCTTTTATTTTTTGGACTTTACATATTTTTCTAACCACACATTTTTTCTTTTTAACCACCCTACTTTACCATTACGTGTGCAATAGGACAGATGTTGCCAGTTTTGAATTGGGATAAAAGATAAATGATATTCTGGGGTACCTTTAGGCCAAACAATTCAGGTTTTTCCGTCTTATCCTATCATATTGTTTTGTGTCGTTTAAGGCTTTTGTTATTTACCTTTTTTTGGATGGGGGGGAGAATAGTCTATACATATGCCAGAACAGGATGAGAAATTAAAATACACCATGACTTTGTTCTTCATACCCACTTAATGGCCTCTGCCAAATTAATTGTAACACAGAACCATTCAAATCACAAAACACATTAAATTAACAAAGCAGTTTGACACACAGTGATTATATTACTTCAAAAAATATTTTTCTGCAGTGCATTTTATATATTTAAAGGGCTAATTGTATTCTTGACTGATTGTGGATAATCTAAAAACTATTAATAGATTTCTTTCCTATATTATTGTTCTTTTTTCTTTGTGAGCTTAGAGAATTTCCATTTCACAAAAATGCACTTTGCAAAATTCCCTCAAAAATATACAGTGTTTCCCAAGTATATGTCTCAACTTGTTTAAAAGTGGGTAAATGAGAGGAAAAAAGATGGTTGAGTTTACCTATTTTGATAAGTAGTGTCAAGTTTTACAGTTTACCTAGGAAGCCTGGCTTTTTCTATTACTAATCTACCATTAGTTAAAACAAAGTGAATCAGTTTTGGATTATTTTAATACAGATTACCTTATTTTTTTATTATCCGTGATCACAATTTCATTATAGCTTGGTTTCTGTTTGTCAGAGTTCTTTTTAACAATCTTTTCTTTCTTAGACTTTTGAATTATACTGTTAGGGGAGAAACTAGATGTAGACTAGCCCTTGGGAAAATTTTAGCGTAAAATTAGGCTAAATGTATGTGGAATGGCAAATCTACTGTAAAAATATCATATGATGTTTTCCAAAGCCAAGTCAGTTGATTTTAGGTAGTTTCTGTCATACTACTTCTGTCTTAACTAGTCAAAATCAAGAGAGTTGACAATGTTTCTCCCTTGAATATATCTTAACATAGTTTAACTCCTAAATTGCTTAGACTTGGTTCATTGTCCAAATTTGCATTTAAAAGCAAGCTAACTGATTTGTGCTTGTTTCTCTGAGTTTGGGGCAGCTACACACTCATGTCAAAAGGCACTACAGTCATCTTGTAGTAGTTTTATTTTGTACTCTATTCATTTGTAAGTTCTGTAAATATGTGGGATGATTTCCACATGACCTGTTTTCCACTGTTAAACTCTGTTTGAACCAGCTTATCATTAAATGTGCAGATATGGAAAGTAAGGCACCTGACTACAGTTGCTATCAACTACCATGGTTGTCTTTATATGTTTTTGAAGAGCAGTTTACATAATAGACATTTTCATTTTTTAGAAGAAAAAACAAGTATAGTAAAGAAAAATCATTCTGATTCACTAAATACTCAGATCTTTCACTTAAATCCTAACTATCTGACATGTAAAATAGAAACATCGTGTTTTATGCGTTAGAGGCTTCTCAAAAGTTGCATATTTATCAAATGATTTTAAATTCTATTTTAAAAGCAGTTATTCAGAGGAATGATATTACGGCAATAAAGCATACCCTTCTGTAAAAAAAAATCTATTTATAAAGTGAATAACCATGCCCTAATTTATCTTCTTAGTTTTAGATACACATTTTTATGTCTGAAATTTGATAAAAGGCAATTCCACCTGTTCCTATACTGATGGTAGCATTAGAGATTTGGATTGGCAATGATTTTTACAAATATCAGCTTGTATTATCTAATATAATTCTTGGGTTCATTTTTAAGCAGGTTCAAGTCTTGGCTTTGTTATTTATTAATTTTGTTGTGTGACCCTGGCAAGCCACCTCTCTAAGCCTCAGTTTTATTTATCTATAAAATGGAGATAGTATGCCCCACCTATTTCATGAGTTTTGGGAACAAATGAGATAAAGGTTAGGTACATGAAGTTCTTTGTAAATTCTAAGATGCTGCATAAGTGTGATATGCCTCTCTAATTCTTTTTTGGTGTCTCCATTAGAATATAAGCTTTTTGAGGGCAAGAACTGTTTTTTCCTTTCTATGTATCTCCCAAGTATGTAGTTTAACACAGTACATAGCAGTAATAAGAGCTTAATAAATTCCTGTTGATCAGTTTATTCAGTTAAAATGTGAATTTTCTCTATTTTTTCTTTTGAAATTATACCCCTAAAAATGACTGACCTTACGTTTTGGATTTGTCTGTTCATTCTTAATCCATATGATTTAATTGCTGTAGTCTTAAACAATAAATTACAGCATTTGTTTCAAGTTTGGCAAGGCAAATTATTTGCCATTTAATTCTTCTGAGTTAGTTTATTTTCCCTCTAATCATATTTTGTATTACATGCCATCGAAGACCATTCATTAAACTTTGTTACAAAATCACTAATTTTTGCAAAAACAATTTGAACTTTTACCTAAAATGTATTCAATTCTTATAAAATATAAGCTGTCTTTATATAGAAGAAACACTAATCTTCAAATTATTCTAGATAGTATTAAGAATAATAATATAAGGGGATGACCTTTAAAACCATATAACAAGTCCCTGGTTGGTAACAACTTCAAAGTCTTCCTCTCATGTTAGTTGCTGAGTCAGTATGTGCATCTATTAGTCTAGCAAATATAAATTAGTAATTTTCCAGACATGTCAGTGAAGGTATTTTTAACTAGGTGGTGGAATTCTTGACATTAAAATTTTTTTAGTATTTGTTGACTGTCAAGTTAGGTCCATTATTTGTTGTAGAAATCTTTTCAGTTGACACTTTCTGATCTAATCCAATGACAAGATAACCAAATAGTTATCCAAGTGGGTTTTGACAGTTTGTCCAATGGCCAGTCTAAAGGGAATACTTCTGCTTTCCGTTTTAAAAACTAGAATATTTTGTCTGCTAATTTATTGCATATTACCTTGTAGATGAACTGACTAGCTCTAGCATTGACCATGATATTGCACATAGTCCTGCTTGTGCTATCATTTCTACATCTGCCTCTCAAGTGCCCACTATAGCAACAGTTCCTCCCAGCCTCACAACTCCACTCCCTTTAGTTCGACGTCAACTACCATGTGACCATGGTAAGTATAAATAAATTAAAAGTATATATTAAAAAATTATCCCCTTCCAGCCCCATTTTTCTTTCCATGTAAAAAGGATCAAATCTTTGATTGCTAAAACAATTAAATCACACATCCAAATGTTGAATTAAAATGTATCTTTTAAACTCACATTGAAAAATCAAATCATCTTAATGGGTATTATTTTGATTATATTTGATTAATATCATTTTGATGATATTGAAAGAGAGCAGAAATGAGTTTTGACAGTTTTTGACAGATCAGCCTACAAGCAGTATCATCACTTAATAATCTTCATGGAGAGTTAGTAGGAGTCATTACTTCAAGGGTAGTAGCCTATTAGTGGAAAATTAAATTGACTCTATCTGAAGATGTGCTATTCCAAAGTCCAGTATTAGGAGTCTATCTAGGCCAACTTTTTATTGTTCGCTTTTCACGTGTTCTTAATGAAATAAGCTGATTATGTAATTTTTAAAAATTTATGTAAATTTGAAACTGCCCTGATATGTTGTTTCATTTATACCCAAAACTATGAGCTCTATGAGGGCAGTGACTGTATTTGTATTTTGGATTTCACATAGCATTTATCACGTAGGACCAATAGGTATTTGCTGATTGAATGAACGCATAACGGCTGGTCATCCTTTATGGTATTTAGAGGCTTTGATTTTAACTCAGCTAGCAAAAAACCGTATAGGTCAACAGTGTTTCCTTCGCCCATATTTTAGATCAAAGTATTTAAAATATACTTGAATTATGTTACTCTGTTTGGAACATTAGGCCCAATTAGCATAGGATCATAGATTTAGATCCAAAGGGACTTGCAAGGTTGAATACAAACCCTTCATTTTACAGATCCTCAGAAGTGACTTGCCCAGGGTCACACAGCTTTAAGTGTCTGACGTAGAATTCAAATACCAATGCTCAAAGTTTTGTGTTTTTTTTTTTACTAATATTTCACTTGTATTTATGATTACATATTCTAGTAGATTGCAGTGAATACTGTGCATATTATGCTTCCTTCTCATAGTCTTCCTCTGTGGAGGTCAATGAAGGGACCCAAAAACTTGTTTAGACTCCTTAGTGAAAAAATAAATTTAGTGTTCCTGAAGAGTCAGACACTAAACAACTGAACAACAAAAAAATTGGAACCTTGTGCATAACTTTATACTCACCATTTCTAGCTTCAAGAAATTCACTGTTTTCCCTGATCTATGTTTAGTATGTTTTTGAGATTGCAAATATATAGTGATCCTTTGAGAAAGCAAATGTGTAGTGTTAACTTGTTGTGGTGTAGCAAAAATATCAGTTGGGGAGTGGGGCGTAGTGGAGGAAAAGACACAGTAGTTGTGGAACAGAAAATAAGTAGCAAAAATGAATCAGAGAACAAATTCTTCTACTAGATTATTCTATTGCCAAAAATCCAGATTTACTGAATTACATGAATTCATCCTTGATTAAAATTATAAATTCAAGTCCCCCAAAGATAATATAATATACATTGATTATGTGCTTTTCTTCTGCCGTAATTATATCAACCATGAAAAAAATTTCTTCTATGCTTCTCCCATTCACAGTTTTCTTTCTGTGTGTGTGTGTGTGTGTGTGTGTGTGTGTATTTAGGACGTATTTATGGAAACACTTTGGGTAACTTACTGAAGGTATTAATAGCTAGTAATGTAGTTGTGTTTAAAAACCCAAGGGCTTGGGACTCATCTGTTTTGTGGTGTAGTATTCTGCTACCACCACATTTTCTCTCTTAAATGCATAAAAAAATCTGTTATTTAAAAGAATATTAGACTAGATCTTTAGGTAAAATGAATAACCAGTTAAGGTTCTCAACTTGATAAATCTAAAATGCCATGTATCAATTTTGTGTAAAAAGATTTTACCTATATCTGTATCTAAATCTATAGTATCATTACTATAGATTTGCTTTGGCAGTTATTCCTACACACACACACACACACACACACACACACACACACACACACACACA